CCTGTCTAAAGCAGAGGTGTGTGAACTTTTAATATGAAGGGCCAAAAATCAAACTTGACTGAGTAATGCAAAGTAAATATTGCATTACAGTATATCCAACTGCATTATTCTAAAAGGTATTCCGTTTACAATTTTTTGCAAATAATTAACCAAAAATTTAAATTACATTTTTAATTTTTAAAATCAAATTCACTTATATTGTGTTTTACATTTAAATGCAAAAATGTAAATATACACTACACACACACACACACACATATATATATATATATATATATATATCTCGATGGATGGATGGATGGAAGGATAGATATGAATATAAATATAAATATAAATATAAATATAAATATAAATATAAATATAAATATAAATATAAATATAAATATTTATCTATCTATCTATCTATCTATCTATATACATATATATATATCCCCCTCCTATTCTGATCTCTAAATGTACACTAAAGACATATATATTGTTATATTTGTATTTCAAGTAATTGCTGTTCTTTTGAACTTTCTGTTCATTAAAGAAACCTGAAAAAAATGCATCATGTTTCCACCAGAGATATGAAGCAGCACTGTTTTCAACACTGAAAATAATCAGAAATGTTTCTTGAGCAGCAAATCAGCATATTAGAATGATTTCTGAAGGATCATGTGACACTGAAGACTGGAGTAATGATGCTGAAAATTCAGCTTTGATCACAGGAATAAATTACATTTAAAAATATATAAGTGACTTCTTTCAAAAGCAATTTGAAATCTTACCGACTCCATACTTTTTACATTCTGACTTCACACTCACATTAACCCTGACGACCTGGTTTCTTATCTACAGTATGTGCATTATGTAAATGCTTGAATAATCCATGAATCAATGCAGACATCTTGAAGATGACAGACACACAGCACAGCTTTTGATTTGCTGACCACAGCAACTCGAGTGAGGAGCGGCTGACAGTGAGGATTTTACTGCTGGAACAGAGAAAGAGAAAAATATAAGTGCAAGTTCAAAAACAGAACAGGAAATCCAACTTCTCGTAACATAACCAAAAATAAAAATGACCCTATACCGTTCAAAGTTTGGGGTAATTTTTGAAAGAATTCTCACATGCTCACCAAGGCTACATTCATTACAACAACAATAATAATAATAATAATAAAAACGTATAACAACTATAATGTTGTTAAATATTATTGCATTTTCTATTGTAATACTGTATACTACAAAATGTGATTTATTTCTGGGATGTAAATCTGAAATTTCAGCATCATTACTCCAGTCTTCAGTGTCACATGATCATTCAGAAATCATTCTATACATTGCTTATTATTATCAATGTTTTGCTTATATTTTTGTGGAAGCCATGATACATTTTTAAGGATTCATTGATGAATAGAAAGTTTAAAAAATGTATAAATCCTTGCTGAATAAAATTGCTCTTAATTTCTTGAAAAAAAAAAAAATCTTACTGATCTCAAACCTTTGAATGGTAGTGTAACAACAAAAAGAATCACTAGCAGTTAAAGGGACAGTTAAATACAAAATAAAAAAGTCATCTCAAGTCAAACTGAAGTCAATTTAAGCTATTATCTGACAATATTTTACTTCTTTATACCTCTCAAATCATGCTTGGGTATTTTCAAAGCTTCTCAAGTTCACTTTGAAAAAGCTTCATCCATTGAATGACTACTTACATGAGCGCTAATTACAATGAATTGGCCAAAGCATGTGACAACGAACCTTCATGAATCTCTATGTACTTCACAAGGTTAGAAAACAGCGGTGAATAGTGCCAATTCATTTTTCATCCTTTAAACTAAATCAAAAAAAGACAGAAAAAATGAACAAATACATTCATACTCAATCTTTCATACTCGTGTAATATTAATGCCTGTAAGTGCAGAGGAGGAGAGAATGATAAGAGAAAGAGTGCTGACCTCCTAATGACGCCTACTGTGCCCTACTTCTGAATGCTGTCAGATCTAAACACCAACACATCTCAACTCAACACAATGATTTAATCAAATGCATCCCAGGAGAGGAATCAGAAAACTATCACAGTCATATTTAGGAGACGCAGTCCAAGAAATAACAAAGGAGGAGGCGAGGAAGAGAGAGGAATTACATCATTTCTCTTTAGCTACAGAGAGTTTGTGTGTGTGTGTGTGTGAGAGAGAGAGATGGTGAGATCATGATATGATCATGATAATGACTCTAGAAAATTATACTTTTTTCTTCTCTACTGGCAGTGAACGAGTGACTGGAAATGACACACCCACATAATCACACACACACACACACACACACCTACATGACTCTGTCACTCATAAACACACTCCGGATCCATGCAGTATTCCAATACGACATCTCTCTTTGGCTCTCGCTGTCAGCTCTGATTAAAGAGGCTAATCACTGCGACTCTGAAAATAGAAGGGCATCAGTGCTGTGTGTGGGTATAGAGACGGACGTCCTATAATAATCATCCATCAGAATTTCTCAGCCAATGCAATTATTGCAGAATATCTGCGCCTGTATGTGCGAAAGCGGTTAGATCTCCATTGACTACATCCGTGATTCTCAACTGGTGGGTTACGATCAAAAAATGGGTCACAGGTCTTGGAAAATGCAAGTAATATAACTAACCATATAATCATGCACGGTTAGGATAGAAAACACTCCCCAATCAAACTTGGTGCAAATTCATGTCATTTGGTAGAAGCTGTAGTCCAAACAGGGAGAAGCTAAATGGACAGGTTGCATGATGCCCAAAATCTGAAAACGAAACTTTGCAAGGTAAAAGAAAATGCAACCTAGAAAACATTAAATATGAGTTGAGGGTTTCGTATTGTGTTGGGTTACCACATGGCATCTAAACATACAGCATAAAGCATATAGTAAATAGCATATAAATGCATGGCATTAAACTGAGGCTGTCCACATGTGCTTAATACTTTTTTATATTCTTTTTTTAATTTTTTTTTTATTGCATTTATTCAGTTTTGCATAATTTGTTGAACTGATGAAGAAACAATAGAGGAAATAACCATGAAAGTGCATAGTTTCACCTCAAAATCAAAAGAACAAAAAACATTGCATCAAGACAATTAACCTCATGAAGATTGTGCATTGTGATATTATTTTCTTGACAGCAACCCCACCAATTTATATGAGTTTGTTTTAAACAGATTTGGATAAATTGAGCATTATATTACTCTGCAGTGAATGGGTGCCGTCAGATGAGAGTCCAAACAGCTGATAAAAACATCACAATAACCCACAAGTAATCCACGTGACTAATCCACTGATGAGCAAGTGATGGAATCCTAAATTTCTCAAAATCTGATGAAGAAACAAACTCATCTATATCTTGGATGGCCTGAGAGTGAGTAAATTTTCAGCAAATTGTTCATTTTGGATTAACTATGACTTTAATCATAAAATAGCCTTCACATACTTTATATAAATATTTTTATTGAAATATATTTCTTTCTTTTGATTTTGGGGTGAAATATGACCCGGACATGCTTTGATGTTAGATGTTTCTTTAGATGCTGAAGTGAATGTCTTTGTCTTTCTGTTTCTTTTTCTTTGTGTCTAAACGCACGCACGCACACGCACACACACACACACACATGCTCACATACAGCTGAGTTTTATACATGCTCACAAAACCAACAGAGATCATCAATCAGATATCAAAGATGAGCTTCAAAGCAGCTTCAGATCTATGATGAACTGTAGTTAAAATAATGTAAAGACAAGCTCTGGCTGTCGATCGTCCATTGATTGACCGTTCTTACAGATATCTGTTTTTAATACTGAAGGCTCAGAGGGCGTTAGGACTCCACTGAGTTCATTTCATGTGATTTCCAGGCGTTTCAGTAAACTTCATTATTCAAAGATTTACAGCAGAAATTAATGGTGAGTTTCAATACACCTGTGGCAGCATATAATAGGCCATAACTGACAGCTCAATCGGTAAAGTCCACTAGCATACTAATACTTCTCATTCAAACTGACATAAGTGCCTGTACTTATTGTGATGGACAGTTGCTGATTTCTAATTTCCATTTTCTGTCAGTCATATTGCAGTGTTATTCAAATGTATCATTTTTCAAATCAATGACGTTTCTCTGTTGATTGGCAGGTTTGAGACATGAGAACATGAGAACTGCTTCCCTCAGCAGTACTTAATGCCTTTGAGAATAGCACACAGAATTTTTGTTCAAGTAATCCTTTAAAAACATCTGATTAGACGGTAAAAGGGCCTTGATGGCTTTCCAGTTGGCAAATTCCCCGTAATAGTGTTTGAACCCCAATACCTGCCTCAGTTCCTTTGCCAAATACCACATTATCCAACCTCACATGATCTCTCAGCCTTTGAACCAGCTCATTCCTTGGCAAAGCATTTTTTTGATCGCTAAATGGTAAAATATGTTTTATTTAGTATTAATATTGCTTGTCAAATACAGACATGAACAAATTAAGGATAAAATTATGAATGTTTCTTCCACTTTGGACACTTTGATTAGTGCTACTTTTTTAATAAGGAGACAACAGTGTCAGTGAAGTGCAGGCTTGAGATGAAGACATTTGACACAATTATGGAGAAAAAAAAAGAAATCAAGAATTCAAAGTAAAGTCAAAATAAATAGGCCTATTAGCTAATAAACACAGTAGTCAGAGTTATAAACGTGTGTTTTAAGAGAGTTTATTTTCTTTGAGTTCTGCAGAATAATTTATCAGTTATTGATCGTTGTTGTAAAGATTCAACCATCTGAAGTGCCACCATTTTCCTGTCCCACGGGCGAATTTATTAGTTTTATTTGTTTGTTACTTAATGTTAATGAGCCGAACCGTAGCCATAAAAAAGCAACGAAGCAACGTCAGCTTAAGTTTATTAATATTCATAAGCAAACCTTCCTCATAGGCGCGTAACGAGCAATGGAATGCACGACCTAATTAATATTCATGAGCCGAGCGGTAGCAGCAGCAGCAGTGGTAGGATTCGTCCCGTTGTGAGGCGGTGCTGTCGGCGAGAGCTCAGATGCCTTCACAGACCTCAGCAGAGACTTCTGAACATCTCACACACACTGAAATTACCTGACTCGAGAGGTAAGATCATTCTTACGGGTTTCCTTACTAAATATGACCATGTTTACAAGCAGAACTGCGAGTTAAGGTAGCTTACGATCGTAAGTGAGTTTGACAGAAAGTTGTTTCAGAAGATTTTTCAGCATGATGTCTAATATTTTTGCGTGGTTTTGAAAAATTGGTTTCCATTGGCCATGTCTGTTTTAAGGCTGTTTATTCACTTTACAATTAATGACACTGATTTATTGGAAATATAATTGTTGTGGCGTAAATAGTAATGTAAGCGCAGGCCAGTAGAGGGCTACTGTTATTATAATTCTGGGCTTTGTACTGGATGATTAATATTACCTGTTGTGATTTACAAATAGTCTGCCTTTGTTTTGTTTATGCGTAATGAACATTGTATCATG